CTCGCACAGCGGAGCAGCCCAGCTTAGGCTGCTCCGCTGCGCGAGCCCCCCCGCAGCTTTACAAAGCCGCGGGGGAAGCCAGCAGGGGGGCAGCCCAGGCGCACCTGGGCTGCTCCACTGCCAGAGCCCCTCCGCAGATTTGCTCCGCGTCTTCCTGGTCTGCAGAGCAGCTTTTCTTGCCCAGGAGTACACGGGCGGTGGGACCGCGCGGTCCCACAGTCCATGTTCGTAACTGCGGATCCGACGTAAGTCGGGGACTGCCTGTACCAAGTTTAAACACAGGTTTCAGGATGTGCTACATATAAGGTTCCCTCTGTAATCCTAATTTGTATGCATTATGATGATCTCTAACTAGTCACATTTTCCTCACAGGACCATTGCCTGAAGTGCATAGGATTGACTGTGCCCATTGAATGGGTAGCAATTGTATATTTTAATCATTGTCACTTAGAATGTGGCCCCAGTCTTAACACACATGGTTTAATATAAGGCCCAAGTTATCAGTATGGGCACTCAAAAAATGAGGGGGAGGGTTTTGTTTAAGTGACTTGCATAGTATTGCATTGGGCCCATGTAGACTACTGTTTACCTTAATGGCATTTGACTACCTACCTACTTTCTGTGCCTGCAATCTGCTCTCTCATTCACTACATGTCTTTCAACTTCTTCAATAAGTAGAGGGAATGATTCAAACACTACCCTGATTCTTTTCTTTCCTGAGCATGGCTTATCCTTATCCTATGCACAGAATGAGACGTGTCTTGAGGGCAAGTATGTGATGTGATTTAAAGACTGGTTCTGTGCATCCAAATTCACAACCTTAATTTGGGCACTTTTTGACTAGAATGTTTGTCACATGTCAGTGTCCTTTTATCATTGCTCTAAGTTAGACAGAGAAGCAGAACATTAACTCCTTTGCTCCTTCTTAAGGAAAGAGTATTGGATGTCATGACTCAGAACTTAACAAGACATTTTTACCTATTCAGTTTTTTCACTAATTACATCAGTTATTAATCACTTCTCTTGTATTTTAGACAAACCTTCCTATTTTCAAATTGAAAGAGTCTACAGTCAGAAGAAGATACAGTGACTTTGAATGGCTGAGAAGTGAACTTGAAAGAGAAAGCAAGGTGAGTTGAATGCTAAAGTAAAATGTACAAATCCACTTGGGAAAGCTTAATGATCACAAATGAATCTGTTAAATTCTCTCCTTTTGTTTTCACTACAATACTTGGAACTAATGATATAATTTGAAATTTCCCCAAGCCTACACTTGATGTAAAGAGTGTGCTTTCATTGTAATGAAGTACTGAAGACCCTGTAAAAGCTGTCAAGATGGCTCCAAGTTTTTACATTTAGTTAGTAATCTTACTATGTGACACTCAGGCCATACAGAAAAAGCAATTCTACGCTTAACTTTTTTGCATTGCTTCAATGTAGGCAAATTCCTTTTTCACATCCTAAATGTAGTGTTGCTTAACCGCCAACACCCCCCCCCCCCAAAAACAAAGGGGGGGGGTTTATTTTTCTAT